TTGATATGCTGAATCTAAACATGTATTTAGATTTTTGATTTTTGGCCCAGTTTTCAAGTTGGTCCAAATTGGGGTCCAAAATTAAACTTTGTTTGATTTCAACAAAAATTGAATATATGGGGTTCTTTGATATGCTGAATCTTACCATGTATTTAGATCTTTTATTTTGTAGTCCCGCTATCAAATTGGTTCATATTGTGGTCAAAAGGGTCCAAAATTAAACTTTGTTTGATTTCATCAAAAATTGAATTATTGGGGTTCTTTGATATGCCAAATCTAAACGTGTTTTTAGATTTTTAATTTTGGGTCCCGTTTTTTAAATTGGTCTACATTAAGGTCCAAAGGGTCCAAAATAAAACTTAGTTTGATTTTAACAAAAATTGAATTCTTGGGGTACTTTGATATGCTGAATCTAAACATGTGTTTAGATTTTTGATTATGGGACCAGTTTTCAAGTTGGTCCAAGTTGGGGTCCAAAATTAAACTTTGTTTGATTTCAACAAAAATTGAATATATGGGGTTCTTTGATATGCTGAATCTAACCATGTATTTTGATTTTGGACATTGGACCATAATAGGTAAATTAAAAAAATTGAAGTTCTTAGACCACATTCTTTCTGTGTCAGAAACCTATGCTGTGTCAAATATTTAATCACAATCCAAATTCAGAGCTGTATCAAGCTTGAATGTTGTGTCCATACTTGCCCCAACTGTTCAGGGTTCGACCTCTGCGGTCGTATCAAGCTGCGCCCAGCGAAGCATTTTATTTTTTTTGAAAACTTGTAAACAGTCAAGATCCTCACCCTGAAACCATATATATTCTTGTATGTTACAATAAAACAAATCAAATGACATAAAAGTCAAATCCCCTGGGGTCATTCCCACCTTCTTTCTGTTTAAGAACTTGTAAACGGTTGAGATCCCCACCCCTAAACCATATATATTCTTGTATGGGACAATAAAACTAATCAAATGAAATATAGGGGAAGTCCATTTGGGTAACCCCTACCCCCCTTTTTTTTGATAACTTGTAAACGGTCAAGATTCCCACCCAGAAACCATATATATTCTTGTATGGGACAATATATCAAATCAAATGAAATATAGGGGAAGTCCACGGGGGTAAACACTACCCCCTTCTTTTTGAAAACTTGTAAACGGTTGAGATCCCCACCCCTATACCATATATAGTCTTGTATGGGACAATAAAACAAATCAATTGAAATTTAGGGGAAGTCCCCTGGGGTAACCCCCACCCCCCTTTTTTTTTTGAAAACTTGTAAACAGTCAAGATCCTCACCCTGAAACCATATATATTCTTGTATGTTACAATAAAACAAATCAAATGACATAAAAGTCAAATCCCCTGGGGTCATCCCCAGCGTGTCTGTTTGAGAACTTGTAAACGGTCGAAATCCCCACCCCTAAACCATATATATTTTTGTATGGGACAATAAAACAAATCAATTGAAATTTAGGGGAAGTCCCCTGGGGTAACCCCCACCCCCCTTTTTTTTTGAAAACTTGTAAACAGTCAAGATCCTCACCCTGAAACCATATATATTCTTGTATGTTACAATAAAAGAAATCAAATGACATAAAAGTCAAATCCCCTGGGGTCATCCCCACCTTCTTTCTGTTTTAGAACTTGTAAACGGTTGAGATCCCCACCCCTAAACCATATATATTCTTGTATGGGACAATAAAACTAATCAAATGAAATATAGGGGAAGTCCATTTGGGTAACCCCTACCCCCCTTTTTTTTGATAACTTGTAAACGGTCAAGATTCCCACCCAGAAACCATATATATTCTTGTATGGGACAATATATCAAATCAAATGAAATATAGGGGAAGTCCACGGGGGTAAACACTACCCCCTTCTTTTTGAAAACTTGTAAACGGTTGAGATCCCCACCCCTAAACCATATATAGTCTTGTATGGGACAATAAAATAAAGCAAATTAAATTTAGGGGAAGTCCCCTGGGGTAACCCCTACTCTCCTTTTTTTTGAATACTTGTAAACGGTCAAGATCCCCACCGTGAAACCACATATATTCTTGTATGTTACAATAAAACAAATGAAATGAAATAAAAGGTGAGTTCCTTGGGGTCATTCCCACCTTCTTCCTGTTTAAGAACTTGTAAATGGTCGAGATCCCCGCCCCTAAACCATATATATCCTTGTATTGGACAAATAAAAAAATCATATGAAATAAAGGGCAGGTCCCCTGGGAAAATTAATCAGTTTGTGTTATATTTGAAAATAAATTAAATATATATAGGGTTCTTTCAAGTGCTGAATCTGAACTTGTTTTTAATTAGATAATAATCTATTTTTATTATGAGATAAAGTTTTTGACATTGATAGATAAGTTGCAGATCTGTATTATTTTTTGACACATGAAAGAAACAATATAAGCAACTATTAATTAAATTTGATTATAATATGGAAATAGATATAACATCATATCTGATTGAGAGAAGTATTTTGCTGGTTTTTAACTGGTTTATGGAAATAAGTTTGAGTTATTTGTTTTGAAAAGTGATGTGTTTAATTGATAGATATAAAATTATATCTAATTTTAGAGATTTATGAGTGGTTAAGTCATATCTAATTTTAGAGAAGTATTTTGATGTTTTGTTACTGGTTCATGGAAATAAATTTGAGTTATTGGCGAAATATCATTGGTAAATTGTTTGAAACTTTTTTGGTAGGCTGTATGTCTGTCTGTCTGTCTTTCTGTCTGTTTGTCCTTCAGTTTGGCAAATCAGTTTGCCACACTTTTATGCCTGTAGTTGAGGGGGCATTAAGTTTTACCCTTGTCTGTCTGTAAGTAAGTATACTGTATGTCCCAAAATTGGTTTTTGTTCTCTACAGGACAATAAAACAAATCAAATGAAATATAGGGGAAGTCCATTGGGGCAACTACCACCCCCCTTCTTTTTAATAACTTGTAAAAGGTCAAGATCCCCACCCTGAAACCATATACCTATGTTCTTGTATGTTACAATAAAACAAATCAAATCCATTTTTAATATCCAGAAGTGGAATTTTAAAATATTTATCTCTTGTTATTATTTTATGACTTATTGTGTCTTATCTCACAATAAAAATTGGAGTGACAGATTTATTTGAAAATTATCTATTTCCTAAGTGGTGATGATTATAAGCTATATTATTAGACATTTTGAAGATTATTACATTATTTATTATTAATTAGATCTGGGTTATATCTTAGCATATGATAATCATTGCAGTGACAGATTTATTTAAAAAATTCTGTTTCCTGATAAGATCTGAAGGACTGTTTATATAAAGTTTGATATTTACTAGTAGGACTGTATAAATGAAGTTTGAAATTAACTGTTCATTATAAGACATTTTGTATATAATAAAGTCTCCCTAAACCATATTTATTCTTACCCCAACCCCCCTTCAATTTGAGAATGTGCTCTTATCTTGTAAACGGTCGAGATCCCCACCCCTAAACCATATATATTCTTGTATGGGACAATAAAAACAAATCAAACGAAATATCGGGGGAGTCCCCGGGACCACCTCCAACCCCCTTCTATTTGATAACTTGTAAACGGTCAAGATCCCCACCCTGAAACCATATATATTCTTGTATGGGACAATAAAACAAATCAAATGAAATATAAGGCGAGTCCCCTGGGGTCACCCCCACCCCATCCTGTTTGAGAACTTGTAAAAAGTGGAGATCCCTACCCCTAAACCATATATATTCTTGTATGGGACAATAACACTTATCAAATGAAATATAGGGGAAGTCCAGGGGGTCACCCCCATCCCTCTTCTTTTTGAAAACTTGTAAATGGTCAAGATCCCCATCCCTAAACCATATATATTCTTGTATGGGTCAATAAAACAAATCAAATGAAATTGAGGGGAAGTCCCCTGGGGTAACCCCCACCCCCCTTCTTATTGAAAACTTGTAAATGGTCAAGATCCCCACCCCGAAATCATATATATTCTTGTATGGGACAATAAAACAAATCAAATGAAATAAAAGGCGAGTCCCCTGGGGTCACTCAACCCCCTCCTGTTTGAGAACTTGTAAACAGTCGAGATCCCCACCCCTTATACATATATATTCTTGTATGGGACAATAAAACAAATCAAATGAAATATAGGGAAAGTCCATGGGGGTAACCCCCACCCCCCTTCTTTTTGATAACTTGTCAACGGTCGAGATCCGCACCCCTAAACCATATATATTCTTGAATGGGACAATAAAAAAATTCAAATGAAATTGAGGGAAAGTCCCCTGGGGTAACCCTCACCCCCCTTCTTTTTGAAAACTTGTAAATGGTTAAGATCCCCACCCCGAAACCATATATATTCTTGTATGGGACAATAAAACTAATCAAATGAAATATAAGGTGAGTCCCCTTGGGTCACCCCCACCCCCTCCTGTTTAAGAACTTGTAAACGGTTGAGCTTTTCATTTTTATACACCCTAAATTAAACTTTTGTTTAATTTCATCAAATATTGAATTCTTTGGTTCTTTGATATGCTGATTCTAACAATGTTTGAGTGTTAAATCATATCTAATTTTAGAGAACTTAGTTATCACTGGTTGTTGTTATTATATTATTGATTATAATTTGAAAAATTGCATCATATCTTATTTTAGAGAACTATTTATCCAGTTTGGGTTATTTCCATTTGCACAGAAAATATTATGGATAAAATTAACCTGTGTTTCATTTCAACATAAATTAAATATATATATAGGGTTCTTTCAAATGCTGAATCTAAACTCTATTTAAATATTAGATTTTTAGGCCCAGTTTTCAAGTTAGTCCAAATCAGGGTCCAAAATTAAACTTTGATTGATTCACAAAAATTGAATATATGGGGTTCTTTGATATGCTGAATCTAACCATGTATTTTGATTTTGGACATTGGACCATAATAGGTAAATTAAAAAAATTGAAGTTCTTAGACCACATTCTTTCTGTGTCAGAAACCTATGCTGTGTCAAATATTTAATCACAATCCAAATTCAGAGCTGTATCAAGCTTGAATGTTGTGTCCATACTTGCCCCAACTGTTCAGGGTTCGACCTCTGCGGTCGTATCAAGCTGCGCCCAGCGAAGCATTTTATTTTTTTTGAAAACTTGTAAACAGTCAAGATCCTCACCCTGAAACCATATATATTCTTGTATGTTACAATAAAACAAATCAAATGACATAAAAGTCAAATCCCCTGGGGTCATTCCCACCTTCTTACTGTTTAAGAACTTGTAAACGGTTGAGATCCCCACCCCTAAACCATATATATTCTTGTATGGGACAATAAAACTAATCAAATGAAATATAGGGGAAGTCCATTTGGGTAACCCCTACCCCCCTTTTTTTTGATAACTTGTAAACGGTCAAGATTCCCACCCAGAAACCATATATATTCTTGTATGGGACAATATATCAAATCAAATGAAATATAGGGGAAGTCCACGGGGGTAAACACTACCCCCTTCTTTTTGAAAACTTGTAAACGGTTGAGATCCCCACCCCTATACCATATATAGTCTTGTATGGGACAATAAAACAAATCAATTGAAATTTAGGGGAAGTCCCCTGGGGTAACCCCCACCCCCCTTTTTTTTTTGAAAACTTGTAAACAGTCAAGATCCTCACCCTGAAACCATATATATTCTTGTATGTTACAATAAAACAAATCAAATGACATAAAAGTCAAATCCCCTGGGGTCATCCCCAGCGTGTCTGTTTGAGAACTTGTAAACGGTCGAAATCCCCACCCCTAAACCATATATATTTTTGTATGGGACAATAAAACAAATCAATTGAAATTTAGGGGAAGTCCCCTGGGGTAACCCCCACCCCCCTTTTTTTTTTGAAAACTTGTAAACAGTCAAGATCCTCACCCTGAAACCATATATATTCTTGTATGTTACAATAAAAGAAATCAAATGACATAAAAGTCAAATCCCCTGGGGTCATCCCCACCTTCTTTCTGTTTTAGAACTTGTAAACGGTTGAGATCCCCACCCCTAAACCATATATATTCTTGTATGGGACAATAAAACTAATCAAATGAAATATAGGGGAAGTCCATTTGGGTAACCCCTACCCCCCTTTTTTTTGATAACTTGTAAACGGTCAAGATTCCCACCCAGAAACCATATATATTCTTGTATGGGACAATATATCAAATCAAATGAAATATAGGGGAAGTCCACGGGGGTAAACACTACCCCCTTCTTTTTGAAAACTTGTAAACGGTTGAGATCCCCACCCCTAAACCATATATAGTCTTGTATGGGACAATAAAATAAAGCAAATTAAATTTAGGGGAAGTCCCCTGGGGTAACCCCTACTCTCCTTTTTTTTGAAAACTTGTAAACGGTCAAGATCCCCACCGTGAAACCACATATATTCTTGTATGTTACAATAAAACAAATGAAATGAAATAAAAGGTGAGTTCCTTGGGGTCATTCCCACCTTCTTCCTGTTTAAGAACTTGTAAATGGTCGAGATCCCCGCCCCTAAACCATATATATCCTTGTATTGGACAAATAAAAAAATCATATGAAATAAAGGGCAGGTCCCCTGGGAAAATTAATCAGTTTGTGTTATATTTGAAAATAAATTAAATATATATAGGGTTCTTTCAAGTGCTGAATCTGAACTTGTTTTTAATTAGATAATAATCTATTTTTATTATGAGATAAAGTTTTTGACATTGATAGATAAGTTGCAGATCTGTATTATTTTTTGACACATGAAAGAAACAATATAAGCAACTATTAATTAAATTTGATTATAATATGGAAATAGATATAATATCATATCTGATTGAGAGAAGTATTTTGCTGGTTTTTAACTGGTTTATGGAAATAAGTTTGAGTTATTTGTTTTGAAAAGTGATGTGTTTAATTGATAGATATAAAATCATATCTAATTTTAGAGATTTATGAGTGGTTAAGTCATATCTAATTTTAGAGAAGTATTTTGATGTTTTGTTACTGGTTCATGGAAATAAATTTGAGTTATTGGCGAAATATCATTGGTAAATTGTTTGAAACTTTTTTGGTAGGCTGTATGTCTGTCTGTCTGTCTTTCTGTCTGTTTGTCCTTCAGTTTGGCAAATCAGTTTGCCACACTTTTATGCCTGTAGTTGAGGGGGCATTAAGTTTTACCCTTGTCTGTCTGTAAGTAAGTATACTGTATGTCCCAAAATTGGTTTTTGTTCTCTACAGGACAATAAAACAAATCAAATGAAATATAGGGGAAGTCCATTGGGGCAACTACCACCCCCCTTCTTTTTAATAACTTGTAAAAGGTCAAGATCCCCACCCTGAAACCATATACCTATGTTCTTGTATGTTACAATAAAACAAATCAAATCCATTTTTAATATCCAGAAGTGGAATTTTAAAATATTTATCTCTTGTTATTATTTTATGACTTATTGTGTCTTATCTCACAATAAAAATTGGAGTGACAGATTTATTTGAAAATTATCTATTTCCTAAGTGGTGATGATTATAAGCTATATTATTAGACATTTTGAAGATTATTACATTATTTATTATTAATTAGATCTGGGTTATATCTTAGCATATGATAATCATTGCAGTGACAGATTTATTTAAAAAATTCTGTTTCCTGATAAGATCTGAAGGACTGTTTATATAAAGTTTGATATTTACTAGTAGGACTGTATAAATGAAGTTTGAAATTAACTGTTCATTATAAGACATTTTGTATATAATAAAGTCTCCCTAAACCATATTTATTCTTACCCCAACCCCCCTTCAATTTGAGAATGTGCTCTTATCTTGTAAACGGTCGAGATCCCCACCCCTAAACCATATATATTCTTGTATGGGACAATAAAAACAAATCAAACGAAATATCGGGGGAGTCCCCGGGACCACCTCCAACCCCCTTCTATTTGATAACTTGTAAACGGTCAAGATCCCCACCCTGAAACCATATATATTCTTGTATGGGACAATAAAACAAATCAAATGAAATATAAGGCGAGTCCCCTGGGGTCACCCCCACCCCATCCTGTTTGAGAACTTGTAAACAGTGGAGATCCCCACCCCTAAACCATATATATTCTTGTATGGGACAATAACACTTATCAAATGAAATATAGGGGAAGTCCAGGGGGTCACCCCCATCCCTCTTCTTTTTGAAAACTTGTAAATGGTCAAGATCCCCATCCCTAAACCATATATATTCTTGTATGGGTCAATAAAACAAATCAAATGAAATTGAGGGGAAGTCCCCTGGGGTAACCCCCACCCCCCTTCTTATTGAAAACTTGTAAATGGTCAAGATCCCCACCCCGAAACCATATATATTCTTGTATGGGACAATAAAACAAATCAAATGAAATAAAAGGCAAGTCCCCTGGGGTCACTCAACCCCCTCCTGTTTGAGAACTTGTAAACAGTCGAGATCCCCACCCCTTATACATATATATTCTTGTATGGGACAATAAAACAAATCAAATGAAATATAGGGAAAGTCCATGGGGGTAACCCCCACCCCCCTTCTTTTTGATAACTTGTCAACGGTCGAGATCCGCACCCCTAAACCATATATATTCTTGAATGGGACAATAAAAAAATTCAAATGAAATTGAGGGAAAGTCCCCTGGGGTAACCCTCACCCCCCTTCTTTTTGAAAACTTGTAAATGGTTAAGATCCCCACCCCGAAACCATATATATTCTTGTATGGGACAATAAAACTAATCAAATGAAATATAAGGTGAGTCCCCTTGGGTCACCCCCACCCCCTCCTGTTTAAGAACTTGTAAACGGTTGAGCTTTTCATTTTTATACACCCTAAATTAAACTTTTGTTTAATTTCATCAAATATTGAATTCTTTGGTTCTTTGATATGCTGATTCTAACAATGTTTGAGTGTTAAATCATATCTAATTTTAGAGAACTTAGTTATCACTGGTTGTTGTTATTATATTATTGATTATAATTTGAAAAATTGCATCATATCTTATTTTAGAGAACTATTTATCCAGTTTGGGTTATTTCCATTTGCACAGAAAATATTATGGATAAAATTAACCTGTGTTTCATTTCAACATAAATTAAATATATATATAGGGTTCTTTCAAATGCTGAATCTAAACTCTATTTAAATATTAGATTTTTAGGCCCAGTTTTCAAGTTAGTCCAAATCAGGGTCCAAAATTAAACTTTGATTGATTCACAAAAATTGAATTTATGTGGTTCCTTGAAATGCTGAATCTTACCATGTAATGAGAGATTTTGGATTGTGAGCTCCTTTATCAAATTGGTCCACATTGTGGTCCAAAGGGTCCTAAATTAAACTTTTGTCTGATTTCATCAAAAATTGAATTCTTGGGGTTCTTTGATATGCTGATTCTAATATGTACTTAGATTTTGGATATTGGACCATAATAGGTATTTAAATGTCCAATTTCAAATATATCAGTTCTTTGACTACATTCATTTTGTGTCATAAACCTATGATGTGTCAAATATTCAATCACAATCCAAATTCGGACCTGTTTTAAGTTTAAATGTAGTGTCCATACTTGCTCAACTGTTCAGGGTTCGACCTCTGCATGAAAATCCGGTTTGCTGTCTCTCTGACAGCCTCTTGTTTTCATTATTAATTAGATAATAATCTATTTTAAATATTCAATCACAATCCAAATTCAGAGCTGTTTTAAGCTTAAATGTTGTGTCCATACTTGCTCAACTGTTCAGGGTTCGACCTCTGCAGGAAAATCTGGTTTGCTGTCACCCGACAGCCTCTTGTTTCTTATTATCTTGAAAGTTAATAAAATAAGTATGAACAAAAACTCCAAGAAAAAACAGAGATAGATAAACACTTTAAAAAACAAAATTTGATCAACAAGACAAGATCTACAAATTAGTCAAATTTTGATGAAATCTTTAGTAGACTATTTATGGGGTTGATTGCCCTTAAACTATGATTTTTTTTAACGATTTTTTGTGTTTTGGGCAAAAACTAAAGAAGAAAGAGAGAAACTGTAAACAGAAAAAAAGATCAGCAATACAAGATCAACAAAAAAGAGATTTTTGTTATGAATTCTATTCTTGTCTACAATGTTTGAGAGTGTTGAATGTTGAAAATGCACATTGACCTAGATGAGCGACACAGGCTGTTTAGAGTCTCTAGTTTGCTTTTTTTTTGCTGATACTGGGTCGAGAGAAATTGTAAAAGCAAAGATATTAAACAAAATAAGATCTGCAAATAAGCCAAGATGGCAAAATTTTCAATTGAATCCTAATAGGAGTTCCTGCCCATGAAGATGATTTTACCCATTTTTGCAGAAACCATAATTGGTAGAGAGAAACTATATATAGTAAAAAATGTTTAGCAAAATGAGATCTGCAGGTCAATGATTATGTTTAAAATGGTCAATTGATCCCTAACAGGATTTGTTTCCCTTGAAAGGGATTTTTGCTGAAATAATATTAATAGAGAGATACAGTAAATAGCAACAATGTTCAGCAAAATAGAATCTTCAGATAAGGCAACATACCCAAAATCATGAATTGACCCCTTATATATGTTATGGCCCTTGAAAGTTGGTTTTTACCCATTTTAAACTAAAGCAAAATTGACAAGAGAGAATTTAGGAACACTTGAAAAAAAACTAGAAATAAAAATGAAAACAAGGGATGAGCAAGAATCAATGAATAATAATTTAGATATGGGTGTTGAAAAGCTTGAAAAGTAAATTGCCAAAATTTATGAGCAAAAAGGCTAAGGGGCTCAAATCATATTACATGAGAAATGGGAAGAACATATTTTCTGGGGTTAGAAAAACAAGAAAGACGAGTTAAAAAATTGATTAATAAATTAAAAGGGGTAAGGTAAATGATGAAATCTTTACAGGTCAGAGTAATATTTTATTTATATTAAAGAGTATTGTGAAATTTTATACTCGACACAAAGCCCTGATAAAACATCAAGTGATGAACATATATTTTTGAGACAAAACTAGAAAAAAGAATTAGATGAAAATGATAAATCTGTCTGTGATAGGTAAATTACAGTAGAAGAATGTTCAAAGGCTATATTTAAAATGAAACGTAATAATTCTCCTCTTTGCCTCACTTAAAAATGTGCAAGCAGGGCCCTTGCTGACATGTCAGTTTTCTAGTTTTACAGAAGCTATAATAGAAAGAGAGAAACAGTGTAGTTGCACTATCTAGAGCATAGATAAATAGTTGACCATGTAGGGTTCTGGATAGTTTTATTTATGAAGCACATACCTGTCAACCTCTGAAACTGAAAATGCAGGTCATGACCTGCATTGAAGAAAATGCACATGAGAACATTAAACAAAAACACAGACCGGACGTGGCAGGGTATTTATCGATCCCTCATCCCTAACAACATCCCTAACAACAAAAAAGACACTAAGTCTGAGAGTACTCGCAGTTCACCTGTTGATGATGAAAAAAAGTGGCAATTGTATGTAGCAACCTGAACAACCCTTACTAACAATACAATATTGGAGTCAAAATGTCTGTGCGCCTATATAACTGCAATTGAGAACATTATTAGTTTAACATAAGTCGTTGCTTATTGCTAGCTATAGCTTATAGATATATATATTTATCCTCTAAGTAAGACTTAAGAAGATACCATTTTCATACTCAAATAGTTCATATCCGAACACAACAGTAATCGAACAAGGAACAGGCTAAAGATGTTCTGTTGACAACAGGGTGGTGAGGCTTAAATAGATTTTGTTTTGTATCCAATCGTTGATTTCTAGGTTTGTATTATGTGCCCTTACTTAAACTCTATGTCCTTTCTTTCATCTTAGATTTCATATAGAAATACAATGATAAATTTTTTTTTTTAATGTTGATGAGGTTTTTGTCTTGCCTTGATGGGGTCAAAAAGTGAGACATAGGTATAATGTTTCTGGCAGCAGCAGCAGCGGGGGCGTCAACAATGTATTAGTTTTTGGATTAGGTCTAGTTTATGGTGAACCACTAGTGATAGGTCAATGATATTTGGTATGCAGTTGTATTAGCATTGGCACTTCTCATTACCATGGACATTTTTTTGGCCCCACCCCCTCAGTCATGGTCTATTGACTTTGAAACTTTGCTTAGTTTACATGTATTAGTTTGTGATTAGGTCAGTATATGGGGAACCACTAGTGGTAGGTCAATGATATTTGGTATGCAGTTGTTTAAGCATTGGCATATCTCATTTCCATGGAGATTATTTGGCCCGCCTCCTCAGTCATGGTCTGTTGACTTTGAAACATTTGCTTTGTTTTCATGTATTAGCTTGTGATTAAGTCCTTTTAAGGGGAACTATTAGTGATAGGTCAATGATAATTGGTATGCAGTTGAATAAGCATTATATAAATTAGCACATCTCATTTCCATGGAGAATTTTGGTCCTTACCCCCTCAGTCATGGTCTATTGACTTTGAAACTTTTGCTTAGTTTACATGTATTAGTTTGTGATTAGGTCAGTTTAAGATGAACCATTAATGTTAAGTCAATGATATTTGGTATGCAAATGTATTGGCATTTGCAAGTTTTATTTCCATGGAGATTATATAACTCATTACGGTTCATTGACTTTGAAACTTTTACATAGTTTACAAGTTAATGTTTGTGTTTAGGTTTGTTTAAAGGGAACGACTTATGAAAAGTCAATGGTATTTGGTATGCAATTGTATTAGCATTGGCACATCTCATTTCCATGGAAATTGTTTAGCACTGTACCTTCAGTCATTTTTCATTGACTTTGAATATTTGCATAACTTACATATTGCTATTTTATTTTCAACATTTGCATTATCAAAATAACAAATAGGCGAGACATATCTCTGTGTTAACAAATTATAGGGTCTTGCACGATCCTTTTTTTTAAAGTAATCTTTATTTAGTAGTCTCTTCTATTTGAAAAAAATGTAAAGTTATAACTTAAAACTGTGAACATTATTAGATGTAAATATGCCACCTATGTTTTGCCAGCTATTCATTTGATAGATGATATGTAAATCATTTGAGCTATGATTTATCTTTACAGTTACTGAAATCTCTCCCTTGTTTGCAACACCAGTTAGATGCATTAATAGAATTTGATGTAAGTATATTTGAGATATAAGTTAGTTTTTGTCTTGCTGCCACATAGGGATGGGTATACAAGGGATGCTGTTTAGATTGTTATGCATCTGAACCAGAGCTCCAGATAAGAATTCACAAATTGGGGTTTTTACCCTCCATTTTTTTATGTAATTGGGTGATAAAGTTTTTTAATTGCATTATCAATTCCAATTCACCCCTCAAGCAAATATCAAATTGGGTTTTTCACCACCAAGCTCCTTAATGTATTGGGTTTTTTCATCAACACAATATTGAATATTTAGGCATGTTATAATCACATTATATCAACCCCAGATGTGTTTCCATCTTAAATGTGTTTCTTTCTTTGTAGAATATGTGCTAGCTGTTTTATTATATACCACGCAACGAGTTGCTGAGGGTATAATGTTTTTGACCCGTCCGTCTGTCAGTCCGTCAGTCCATCAGTCCGTCAGTCCGTCAGTCCTGTTTCTTGTCATCGCAACTCCTCTCAAACCACACAACAGAATTTCACGAAACCTTTTTAGATAATAAGGACATACTATGTAGTTGTGCATATCGACAGGAAATTGCGATTCAATTTTTTTTCTAGGAGTTACGCCCCTTTGAACTTATTTACTTTAATGTACTACTGCAACAGTTTGTCATCGCAACTCCTCTGATACCACACAACAGAATTTCATGAAACCTTTTTAGATAATAAGGACATACTATGTAGATGTGCATATCGACAGGAAATTACGGTTCAATTTTTTTTCTAGGAGTTACACCCCTTTGAACTTATTTGCTTCAATGTACTATGCAACAGTTTGTCATCACAACTCCTCTGATACCACACAACAGAATTTCATGAAACCTTTTTAGATAATAAGGTCATACTATGTAGATGTGCATATCGACAGGAAATTACGGTTCAATTTTTTTTCTAGGAGTTACGCCCCTTTGAACTTATTTACTTTAATGTACTACTGCAACAGTTTGTCATTGCAACTCCTCTGATACCACACAACAGAATTTCATGAAACCTTTTTAGATAATAAGGACATACTATGTAGATGTGCATATCGACAGGAAATTACGGTTCAATTTTTTTTCTAGGAGTTACACCCCTTTGAACTTATTTGCTTCAATGTACTACTGCAACAGTTTGTCATCACAACTCCTCTGAAACCACACAACAGAATTTCATGAAACTTTGTAGATAATAAGGTCATACTATGTAGATGTGCATATCGACAGGAAATTATGATTCAATATTTTTTCTAGGAGTTACGCCCCTTTGAACTTATTTGCTTCAATGTCTTCTGCAATAGTTTGTCATCACAACTCCTCTGAAACCACACAACATAATTTCATGAAACTTTGTAGATAATAAGGACATACTATGTAGATGTGCATATTGACAGGAAATTATGATTCAATTTTTTTTTCTTACACATATTTTATTTCTCCAATGACAATGTGAGGACGTGGGGTATGTGAGTGCGCTCACTAAGGTTCTTTAATTTGGTTTATTCACTGACCAGCAATTGTACATTTAATTTGTGTCCCGTTTTAAACATTCTGTCAGTTTTGTATTTTCTCAAAACTTATGTAAACTGCAGCTGGTGTCACTAGTTGGACAGGAACTAATTGCCTTTCTAGATCCCATATGATCACCCTACAGTTTAATTATAGTTGGGGTAGGTGTGGCTAAGTGTTTAGATTTTTGTGTAATATATGTGAAATTTAGGTGCTGTAAGAAAGTTTTGCCAGTCCTTTCACCTATTTGCCAGATCTACTTTTTAATAAAAATAAAAAGTAGTTTCCAGATTTAAGATATACCCCAAAACCTTGAGGTTAATAGGGTGGTTTATAATGACGGAGACCACATTCAACTTAAATTTACAAATAATTCTGCAACATCAAGTAAATAAATGACAATGTTATACTGCACTTGCCAATAAGACAACTACCTTAAGCATCTAGAACAATTAGACCAAAACAAAGAAAGTGTCAAGCTGCATTGACGTAAAAAACGGATATGTGTATTCACTCATCAACTAAAATAAAAAAAATAATATATAAACTGTTTTCGTTAAATTCAATTTACATAAATCTGGGTTAAGTTGTCCCTTATCAGAACTTTTGGTTTCCGATGCTTTCAAACTACATATCATGTCATAATTGATTTGGCCTTTCACTTTTTCCAACTGATTTCGTTTTTGACGGAACCCCGTCTTTATCCCTCTAGCAATGTTCTCGTTATGGTACGCAAACACGCCCGTGCGTTCAATGGCCGCTTCCTAAAATCACTAGCTGAGTCTTGTTATCATCATAACTTTCCCTCAGCTATCAAAAAGAAGCCGAAAACATGCTTCTATTCAATATTTTTACCGGACATTTACTTTCGTTTTAATTCATTGTATGTTATGATAAATCCCGAGCAATTCGAAAAAATATGACAGCATTTCACACGCTAATTGGATAAGCGCCGAGAAGATCGAAATGTTTTCATAAACACGTGTTCATTTTGAGCAACGGAAAATTACAACAAGGACCCATTACAGCTACTTGATGCAGGGCTCTATTTTTAGAACGAAGGGAAAATTCCAATTATAAATATTATAAAAATAGATTTACGCGACGACTGTAATCAAGTAAGGGTAAATAACGCAAACGATAGCGAATAAAAGCGTTAAGAACCCATGTTTTTGGCATATAATTGGGTTTTCCTTTGAATTAATTGGGTTATTAAACCCTGCAATGGGCAATTGCATTGGGTTTTTAATTATTTTTATTGCGTGATCATGCAAATACGCAGCTTATCTGGAGCTCTGCTGAACCAAAAAGTCTGGCTAAATACTGTTTTACCACTGTCCACCCATTCCTTCATCTTGCATAAGGAAATTAGTTTGACAGCTTACTTTGGATTTTATCAGACTTTCTGTAAAAGACAAGATTGAGAAGCTTTACATATTTAACCGGATTTCCAAAGGGAAATATCAGTTATTTATTTGGTGATGTATGGCGGGCCGCCGTTAGGGCGGCTGCCAAACAGTGTCTATGCAATAACTTGAAAACACTTTGAGGAAATCTTTTCAACTTTAGATATGTTGTTTCCTGTGACTAAATGAAGGCCAAGTTCGATTTTCATGATTTGAGCTTTTATCATTGTTGAGTTGTAGACTTGTAAATAGCGAAAAGTGATACTTAGAGAGCGTTGTCCATGCATTCACTTGAATTTGCTTTGACGAAATCTTTTCAAATTTAGATACCGGTTTGTTGTTCCCTGTGACTCAAAGAAGGTCAAGTTCAAAAATCACGATTTTAGCATTTATTGTTGATGAGTTATAGACCTTTAAGTAGTGTAAAGTGATACTTAGAACGTTGTCCATGCAATAACTTGAAAAAGCTTAGATGAAAATCTTGTGATACTTGGAGAAACAATACTGTTTGAAAGTGGGTTTCTGGATAGTTATGGTAGTGACCACCAGATTCTATAGTTATGCCCCCGCCGTAGTGGAGGGGGCATTAAGTTTTACCCTTGTCCGTTTGTACGTTCGTACGTCCGTCCATCCATACATCCCAAAATTGGTTTCCATTCTCTAACTTTAGTTTGCCTCAACCAAATGTTATGAATCTTATACACAATGCTTATTACCACAAAACTCAGATCAAGTTTGAATTTTGGTGGTGTCACTTTTACAGTTCTAGAGTTATGCCCCTCTACAAATGGAAAAAATCGGCTATTTCGTTTCCGTTCTCTAACTTAAGTTTACCACATAACTCAGGTCAAGTACAAATTTGGGTAGTATCACTTTTACTGTTCTTGAGTTATGTCCCTTTATAACGTTATATGCAAGCGGGGGCATCATCTGTGTCCCATGGACACATTCCCCATTTATTTCATATTAAATAACGTTGTAATCTCATAAACATATGTCTTTCATTATTGATTTCATGATTTCTGCCTACCCACTCCTGCTGAACAAATGTGTGTATACTTATATACTCTCTTAAATTCCAATATTATGTCACTTATGATAAATAAGAGGAAAAGATTGATTTTGGCCTTTCCATTTCTGAGCACTACAAAAATTCATTTATTTTTTAAACGCCCTTTAACGGAACGTATTATGGTATACTGTTGTCAGTCTGTCTGTCCGTCCGTCCGTCCATCCGTCCGTCCGTCCTTCCATTCATCTGTCCTCAACATGTCGGACAATAACTCAAAAATGCTTTAACCAATTTGCATGAAACTTTAATGAATTGTTTATATCTATTGACGTGAACTCCCTTTTGATTTTTTTTATAAATTTTGGATTGTATGTTTCAGAGTTATGGGGTTTTATTCATTAAAAAAGGGGGATTTTTTAGTTTTCGGACAATAACTCAAAAATGCTTTTAGCAGTTTTCATGAAACTTTGGTGACTGGTTGATATCGATTAAAATAACCTCCCTTTAGTTTTTTTATAAATTTCTGATATGACATTGAGGAGTTATGGAAATTTATTCTTTGGAAAATGCGACAGGCGTATCATAAGCATATGGCGCAGCTCTTTATTTTACTTGATCCTGTTTTGGGTGCAATCAACAGTTTTTGGAAAGTTTGCTTTAGCTTGCTATATAGCAATATACTTTCCTAAGGTATCGGCCTCAAACCGGAAGTTGGACAGACTATCTTACTATGTCTACTCCTAAATAATATAGTACTAGTGTTTGAATACTAATTCTAGGAAGATGCTTTTGAAATTTTGAGTTACTTCTATTTTGATTAGCTTACAGCTTGAATTAAAATGTACTGAATGTTCATCGATAATTCAAATATATTCAACTTCATTTTGAAAATGGCTATCACAAACACTACTTCGCTGATCTGCGCTGCACGGAAAATAAAATCAATACACATCTACACGAGACAGCAGTTTCTACGTTTTGTTTTTATCGGAATTCCCCAGACATGCGTGAGATCCATATATGTGTGCCTCCAAACGGGAGTACAATAATCCCAGTTTCAGG